TTGTCCAGGTCACCATAAATCACCTCCAGCATGGCTAATTCCCTCAGGTACTGGATACCTCTCTCCATGGTGGTCCACTTGCCTGGGCAATATATAACATCTTCCTTGAAGGGATATCTTTCCTTCATACCTGACAGTATTCGCCTCCAAAGGCTGAGGGCTTGTGCTCCTTTTCCAATCACTTTGTCAATGTCCCTTTCCCTGGAAAGGGATCCCAGCTGTTTGGCTTCCCTACCCTCCAATTCCAGGCTACTGGCCCCATTATCCCAGCATTGGAGCAGCCAGGTGACAATGTGTTCACCTGGACAATGGCTGAAATCTTTTTGCATGTCTCGCAGCTCACTCAGGGATAGGGATCAGGTCGTTTCCATCTCGTGTATGAGTTTTTCCTCTTCCTCCTCCTCTCCTCATGAAGGCCGTGCTTTTTCATTATCCCTTACTAAACGAGCTGACTTTCACTTCCAACATTTCTTCTTGTGTATAGGGGCAAGTGATACCGGCGCAGGTTGGTTCTTTGGTTCAGTTGCAGTACCTGTTGTGGGGGTTGGAGTATCCACAGCTCTCTGCTGATATAAAGGGGGAGATGAAGCTCTCCTCTCCTTTTTTTTCTGGCTGCCTCCCACCTTGGTACAGCCCTGGCACTTTTCAGACTTTTCAATTATCCCATTTAGCTTGCTAACCTGGTAGAAAATGATCCCTTTTTTTCCCATTACTATGTTTTCTGCTGATAGTGAGTTAAAAGCAGTGCACAAGAGGGTCTGATGGATGCCAGATCTAGCAAAAAGTAAGTGGTTCAGAGGGAGACAGAGAGGTGGGGAAGGTGGGATCTTTCCCCCGATTTCTCCCTTTGGGTGGCAGCAAACGGTTCATCTGCCTTGCCATATTGCATAAAACCATAACCTAAGGCTAGAACTGTGCCCTCTCACGAAGTAGTTTGTCTTCTTAGCAATTTGCAACTTGTTTATTGGAAGTTAAAACCAAGGCTGTCATTAACAGCCTCTGTTCACAACAGGGAGGGATGCTGGGTAGGCCTAGCCAGGCCTGTTTAGCACTAGCGTTTCTAAAATGCAGGGGACAAGCAGGAGATCATCCAGTAGGAAAAAGATAGGATAAAAGTCTTCATTAGGATGCTTTCGTGTAAGTCCTGTAGCCAGACCTGAATTTGAATGAAAACTCCAAGTATTCAATTTATAATCTTAATCCTTTTATGAGAAAGCAAATCTCAGGCCAGAAGGTCTAGGAACTGAACCTTTACTTGTAAGAGATGCCTGAATCAGGGGCTGCTACAAAGAAAGAAAGATCTGTTGAAATTAATCTAAGTAGATAATAACCACAGCTTGCTTTTATTTCTATTCTGCTGTCTCTCAAGCCACTGCAAAGTGGTATTTCCATTTGGATTGTGAAAACTGGTTACCTAATGACTGCCTGGTGTGAAGGGACATTTTAAAACAACGATCAAGCACCAATGCGTACCCTTACTATAGATGAGGCAAAACCAATCTTCTATTATCCACTACGCAAATAAAACCTTAAGCTGGCCAAAAGCTGTTCTCTGTCCTTGTTTTGCAAGGACTGCACAACCCAGGGGCAAGGCCGGACTTAACAGAGCCATGCCCTCAGCAGCTGGCACTTGCCGAAGGGCGCCGCTCCGTCACCCACCAGCCTCTGCACCCCAGCAAAGCAGCACTGCCAAGGGCAGACCTTCCCAGGGCTTTCTCAGACTGCCCAGGCTGTGGAACAAATCCACGTAGGATTGTTGAGAAACTACACTGGCCATCTTCTGCTTTGAGGAAATCATAACTTTAAAGCAAATAAAAATCCCTGCGTGTGTTATTTTCCTATTACGGATGACAGAGAAAACAAATCCCATGTACCGGATGCTAGTTATGCCCCTTACTGCCTTCCCAGTAAGCGTTCCTGCGCTGCCGTGGGAGGGCTGTATTAATGATACAGATGTATGGTATTCTGCAGAAATAGCACTGGGAGTTACAGCATGGAACGCAAGGACACGGAATGAATGTATGATTCCGGGAGAGAGCAGGTCCCTTCCCCAGGCCGCAGCCGCCTCTGGGGGCGTCTCTCAGTAAGCGGTGGCCTTGCTCTTCACCTCCATGCTGCACGCAGGGAAGCGCAGCGGCTCGGATCTCCCCCTAAGGAGATTTCTGCCGCTGATTCACTCGAGGCCGTGGCTCACCCAGGGGGCTTCAAACTCTTGAAAGAGCGACCAGCCCAAACCCCACCGAGGCGAAACCCGCCTCCATGGCGGGGGCGCCGCC